TATTCGTATATATAATAATATATATTCAATATGATTTAATAATTTAAATTACTTTAATATCATGTAATGACTAATAATTTATATGTATATTTAATATTTTTATATATCTATATATGTATAATTTGGGTTGCTCAGGTTATTTGACGTCTTTATCCAAGCCCGTCAAAATTTAATTCGGACTTTTAAATTTTTGCCTAAGCCTGTACTAAATTCAAAAATATCTTGTCCGAACCCTGAAAAAATTTGGACTGAATTCGGGTTGCTCTGATTGAACAGGCCCAAGTTGCTCCCCTATCCACAACACCCCCACAAAATTATATTTTATTTTATATATATATACATCCACCCATACGTGCATATATCTATTCATCCATGCACACGCAGGAGTGGTTGTGTCCCACGAGTCCAGATCCTCAGCCGCACATCCCTGCGGCCCTTTCCAAAACGACGTCATTTTGGTGTTTTTTTTTTTTTTCCCCCCCAAAAATTGAGTTTCCCACTTTTCTTTTCACTTTTATCATCTCTATTTATCCCCAATAGAGATGAGAGGCGCAGCTGGACACAGAGAGAGAGAGAGAGGCAGAGAGACGATCAGCGAAGACGGAGGGACGCGATTCCCGCAGCGACGCGACGGCGGCAATCTCCCCTTCTCCCTCTCTCTCTCTCTTCTTCTTCTTTTTCTTCTTCTTCTTCTTCTTTTTCCTCCTCTTCTCCTTCTTCTTCTTCTCAACATACATAATTCTACCCAATCATTGAAAAATTTCTCTAAAATGCTGGTGTAAAGTAGTTTTTTTGGTAAATTTTGAGTATGTAGTGCTGTTTGCTTTGCATTGAACTCTCCCCATTTCTTTACAAATTGAGAGCAAATCTTTATTGATTTTGGTGGTGAAAACAAAGCATGGATGAAAACAAAAAAATAGAACAACTTTTTCTGAAAAAACTCAGAAATTTTTCAACCCAAATGGGTTGAGAAGAATCTATAAAAATTTATATATAAATAATTCTACCCAACTTTTCAACCCAAATGGGTAAAATTTTTCAACCCAGATGGGTTGAAAAGAATCTACATACATAAGGTTGAAATGTCTATGAAAGATTTGAGATCCAAATTCAAATAGGAGAGGAAATTTTTTTGACTATTGTTCTTTGTTTTTGTTTGTATATATATATATCATTAAAAATCTCCAAATTTTTTTTTTTTTTTTGAATGTGTGTTCTGTGTAGGTGTGGGTGTTTGAATGGTTTTTTTTTTTTTTTTGTTGTTAATTTTCACTTGTTTTCTTAAGTGTTGTTCTTTGCTTTTGTTTGTATATATATACATCATTAAAAATCTCCAACTTTTTTTTTTTTTGATTGAGATGCGAGTACTGTTGTGAGGGCAGATCTTGGTGCAATGGTAGGTTATTCCATTGTGATTTGGCCACCACGAAAGCAATCTTTCTTCACATTAAGGGTAAGATTGCATGCATTTGACTATATTCAAACTTATTAATAACAAAAATCCTAAAAAAAAAAAAAAAAAAAAAAAATCCAAAACGACGTCGTTTTGGCGCGGCGGCAAGGAGGGCCGTAGGAATGTGCGGCCGAGGATCTAGACTCTGTGTCCCACGCCGATCACTTGGCGAGGCACACACGAAAACTATATGTTTTGAATTTTAAATTTGTAAAAATTATTTTTAAAATATATAATTAAATTGGCTTCGTTTGGCATCATAAGTTGAGATTAAAATAGTCACAAAATGACAAAATATGCTAAAAATTAATAAAATAAAATGTCACCTCTAAATTATAATTATTTTAATTTTTTTCTCATAAAAGTAAAAAAAAATCAAAAAAATATCTCAAACGAGACTTTTTAGTTCAAGTTAAAATAGTCAAAAACTCAACTTACTTCACAAACGAAACTAAAATTTAAAGTTTGACAGACTCTTTTCAAAAATATAATTATAAAATTCATTTAAAAATTCAAACCAAACAGACCATCTAATAATATTTTTTTACCTCAGTTTTTTTTTGCAACAGGCTAGGTAAATTACATTTTAATCCAATAATTTTACATTCAATTATATTTTAAACTCAAAATTATTTTCACTGTGTGTTAAGCACAAGCATACACTAGTATATATATATAGTATGTATATAATTTGTTACCTATTTTATAAACACTCAAATGTGTTATTAACATTAATTATAGAAGGTTTTAAAGAGTCTCTAATATGCATAAGTTTCTACTTTTACAAACATACTCTTTTACAGTAGTAAAACTAATTTCACAGATCAGAAGTTGTAAAATTATGAATAATATTTTATAGTAGTCAAATTAAACGAAATGCTTTTTAATGGTTCATTATTGTTTTTTTATTTTTTTAATGATTCACTCTTGTTTGGTTAAACATTTTCATAGCTTATTTTAATTTCAAATTTCATAAAATTATAAATAATGGTTCAGTCTCTGATTTACTCCTACAAACTATGCTCACCTAGGAATGGCAACAGGGCGGGCTGGGCCAGGGATCACACTCCCCGTCCCCGATCCCCGATGGTAAAATTTTTCCCGTCCTTGGCCTCGATCACCGTCCCTGTCCCATCCCCCTAACGGGGATCGGATTTCCCCGACCCCGAAAATTCCCCGGACCACAAAAAACAAAAAAAAAATAACAAACCCAAACAGCAACAAACAAGAAGTTAACAAAATCAATGATCAACAACATCATCAACATCACAGATTCACAAAGAGTGAGAGATATCTGAATAGAGAGAGAGATCTGAGTAGAGAGAGAGAGGGAGAGAGAGTCGTGGCGGAGTGAACAAACACCGGCGGAAAAGGAGGTGGTGCTCGGAGGAGGAGGTGGCGCTCGGCGACGGCAACGATGTTCGGTGCTCTTGAGCATGAGATCAATGGCCGAATCGGCGCAGAAGAAAACCCTAGGGCCGGCCAAATCGGGGTTAAATGTTCTGGAATGTTGGAGGGGTTCGGGGAAGTGGGAGGAGATGTCGGGGTCGGAGTACATGGGGATAGAGGAAAGATCGATGGCGATGTGATCCGTGGAGGAGGAGGGGAGTGGTGGGAGGATTGGTAAAGGAAGAGGTGGCGGTGAGAGATGGTGAAGAAGAGAGAGAGACCAGAGACAGTGGAGAGGAAGAGAGATGTGAGGAGTGGAGAGAGAGAGAGAGTAGATCTGAAATGGAGAGAGAGAGAGAGTAGATCTATATGAATGAGAGAGAGAGTAGATGTAAATGAATAAAATATAGAGATGAGAATCAAAAAAGTATATATTAATAGAAGATAGAGGTGAGAATCAAAAAAGTATATATATAATATATATATCAATCGGGGAGACAAACAGGGCGGGGCTCGAGGCCGAGGCCGGGCCGGGACTGAAACACGTATTCTCGTCCCCAGCCCAAATATCATCGGGAATTTATTTTTTATCACCATCCTCGGCCCGTCGAGGATATTTTTCGGAGAATAACCATTATATTCGAGATCGGGGGGTGAGGTCCCCATCAGACAGATTTCAGATTGCCATCCCTATGCTCACCCTTACTACCTTCCGCCGTGGTAATTATGGACTGCCAAATGGCCAACCTTCAACCACCCTTGGCAAGTTTTCAATTACCTTCTTGTCACCTCTCTCCTGTGAGTCTTCAATACCTTACCAAAACATGTTTCTTTATATTTATTTTGGGCAAATTACATATGTCCCCTCGAGGTTTGTCTAAATTACACATACTCCCTGAGGTTTAAGAAATTATAAATTCCCCCCTGAATACTATATTTGCATAACAAATTATGGATAATTTGTTATGAAATTTAAACTTCAGGAGGTAAATTGTTATGAAAATACAAACCTTAGGGGGCAGGATGTAATTTCTGAAACCTCAAGGAGTATCTGTAATTTAGCCAAACCTCAAGGGAGGAATATGTAATTTGCCCATTTATTTTCAAAACAGTTATGTCTATCAAAGGAAAATTTACTTATAAATTTTATATGAGAAAATGTTAATTTATTTAGTCTTAACAGTTTTTTTATGAATTAATTAGTTCTTTTTTTTTTTAAAGTTATAATTATTTAATTTGTTGCTATTTGAATTTAGGTGAATACCTTTTTATGACTCATTTTTTCAATTCTCTAATTCGTTTTTAGAATGGAAATGGAAAGGTGAGGTGCAGATGGATTGGTGGCTGAAGAGTTGATTATCAAACGTAGAAATATATATTTCTGTTAGTGTAATTTTCTAGTGTTGATTAGAATGTTACGTTTAGAAAAAGTACACTAAAGAATTTATGTGTTTCATTGATTGGAGTTTTTGAAAAAATACATTAAGAAGTTTTTTTGTGAAATGTTACATTGTTATACTTGACAAAAGTATACTAAAGAGTTTTGTAATGTGTTATATTTGAGTGTTATCTTTGAAAAAAATATATTGAGAAATTTTTGTATGTTACATTGGTTGGAGCTTTATATTTGAAAAAAATACACTAATAAGCTTTTTTAGAATGTTATGTTGTATATTTGAGAAAAAAATATATTAATTTTTTTTTAATATATTATATTTGAGTATTACGTTCGAAAAAGTATATATATATTTTTTTAATGTGTTACATTAATTAAAGTATTATGTTTGATGTGTTATATTTAAGAAAAGTATTGAAGTGTTACGTTTTTAGAGTGTTACATTAAAATGTTACATTTGAAAAAAGTATACTAATAAATTTTTTTTTTAAATGCTATGTATACTAATTTCAACATTATCCGAAAGTCCACATTTATTCCTTAACACATAACACATGCGCGTTTATATTTGATCTTTTATGTAATTCATACTAGAATATAACCTTCGAGTTAATAAGAAAAAAAAGGAAGGCCAAACAATTTATAAAATCACTATTTAAGATTTATTGGTACTTCGCCCATAAGTTTTTGTTTTTGTTTAAAATCAAAAATAAAAAAATAAAAAATAAAACAGAAAACAAAAAACAAAAAACTTCTTTCTTGTTTGGTGTAAACAAAATACTGGGTTACTACTAGTAACAACAATATACAGTCAAAGAAAACTAGAACGCCAGTTGCAAGTCACATTACAAGATGGATAAAAAATATATAACAAAAAAAAAATTCAAATTCCATGATCATTTTGCTCCTAAAAATGATATTTCCACAGAACAGAATTCAAAACAATACAAAACCATTTCATCTGATGTGCCCAGAAAGAATCAGAATATCAGAGGTAGCTCTATTTGGTAAAGACTGAATCATATGTTATGTCATCCACTGGGTCAGGCTTTGAATCCATTGAATATTTGAAATCATTTAACTTTTTTTTACCTGCATTTGCAATCAACAAAGTTAATGTACACAAACAACTTGATAATGGATAATAAAAAGGCTTAATCTAAATGCTGCTAAAGAGATTCATATATCAACAGATCATTTGAAAGTAAGATCAATTTACCCATCAACAGATAATCTCATAACAATATTATCATTCTAGGGTTAAAGATATGAGATTGTACATCTACATTCAAATGCTGTACAACTCATTACAGAATACTTCGATCAGGGAAAGCATCCACATTAGATTTTACAATACTTTGCTTTCACATCATTTGAGCACAACCACATACACACTCTTGAGATTGATCTTTACTTGCATATTTTGTCATTTCGATTATTCATCACAATTGAGTTTTTGGGTTTCCTTTCTGTGTGAAGTTTTAAATTTTTGCCAACCCGATTCAGCCCCCTCTGGGGTTGCCCACCAGGTTAACAACTGGTATCAGTGATTCGACTTGTGATTTTGACTAAACAGTCAGCAACCATTGTTGGGAAATTCTTCTGTAGAAGACCAATAGACCGGCTAAACCACCAGCATTATTTGATGGCACCAACTACACCTATTGGAAGGCGAGAATGAAAATTTTCATTCAATCCTAGTGTCATAGTTAATGGTCCCAAAGCACCATCCAACACCATCCATGGACAAATCATGCCTAAAGGAAGAACGTGAGTGGGATAAATGACATGAAACCTGTTCAAAAAACCTCTTTTATTGTGCTTTAGATCCTAATGAATTCAATAGAATTTCTACATGTGAATCAGCCAAGGAAATTTGGAATTATAAAGAGATCACGAATGAGGGGAAAAATCAAGTCAAGGAACATAAGATTAGCATGCTTGTTCATGATTATGAGCTTTTTAAAATAAATATAATGAATCCATTTATGAAATGATTGAATTTGCTTCCCCAACTAAATTTCTTGACATGGGCCAAAATTCCAGGGAACTTTTCATTATTGTTTAAGTAGCAGGGCTGATGAATAATTACACAGTCAGTTGGTGGCCTGACCTTCCAAACAAACATCAAAATTTTTTAGTGCTCCACTTTCCTTCTAATTTATTAGAAGGATTTGGCAACCCAATAACCCGTTTGCTCTATTGACCAGTCCTTGCTGAAAATAATATCGGACACCTCAAGCAACAATAATGACCCACCATTCCTACCACCATCAAGAGAAACCCATAAAACATACTCCAACAACACTTCAAAACATCAGAACTAACAACAAGATGAGGTTTTGAATAACTCTAGCAAATGTAAGATAATTAAAAGATGATATAAAAGTATAGCTATCCATGAAAGTATATATATGACAAAAATCTGAAATAATTTTGCCAATAAGAAATAATTTATCCAAACTCTTCAACATATTCATTTTGTCTAACAAGATACTAAAAACATAATGTTTCCAACTTGAACAACACTACAAAAAAAAAAAAACATAGCTATAGTAATAACCCAAATTAAAAACTCATAACTATAGTAATAACCCAAATTACACAATTCAATAGAAATTTTTAGTAAGCTTTGGATTGTACCTGGATCATGGCTGTGCATTAGCAGATGCCTGCACTGTAGGTATGAATGGTTTGCTAAAGGTCTGCAATAATTGATCCTTCATCTCAGACAATTGCTTCAGAAATTCAGTAGATTTAGCCCTTCTTTTTATTAACTCTGCCTCATACTCCTCATCCCTCGTACAATTCTTGCCTTGACCTGAGGAAGTGCAGCCATTCAAATCTTTGCCCTTGACACCTACACCCCTGCTAAGGACACGACTGTGGCTCAGTTTCTCAGCAGCCACCTCACAATTATTCACCATGGAACTTTGAGAAGTGGCAGTGAGCCTCGTCGAATCGATTTGTTCCTGAAAAAAAATATTAGAAACATAAAGAACATCACACAATAACTGATGAATGCCGAAAATTGCATAATTATATTGCTTTATTATACAGGCAAAGCAAAGTTACATTCCTTTTATGTTAATTCCTACCTTAAATTAAAGTGGAGTTCATGAGGAAAAGGTGGGCCTGATTCTTGGAAAGACGATTTGCCTGGCTTAGATGAAAACTAAGCCAAGTGCAGACAGGAGACGCGTTTCAATGTGTGGGCCCAGCTTTAGATACACAGTGTCAGCATGAATTAAAGGTATTCTTGGCCAATGAGGAAAAAGAGGGAAAAGACTTCAGCATTTACTCTTTAGCAAGAGCCATGGTGGGTCAGCATCAATGACAACAGCGTTTTAGCTGTGTGATCAACACACCCATCGTAACAAAAGAAACCACATGCTGATTGGAAAATATATATTAACGGTGGCCGAGCACTCCAGCTGTGCGCCAGTGACACTTCATCACTCATGAGACCCTAAGTCATATGAAGTAGCAATTGGACTCTTTACTGCATTATTCTCCATAACTTGCAAATAAACACCCAAGTAATCACCATTACATGCACGAAAATATAACTCACAAAATAATAATAATTAATTCAATTTTTTTTCAACATCCCAAACAAGTTTTGAGCGATATCTTATCCTACAAATATGCTTCTCTAGCATCCAAGTGCTAATCCCACTCGTTCTGAAGAAAGAAAGTATTAGTGCCACTTCCATACCATTTGCGCAAGAAGTGGATAGTTTTCTCTAAGGTTCCTTAATACCTATTATCATGAACCTACTTTTCTTGTATATCCATTAGTTAACTCGTCATAAAAAATATCCATAAGTTAAATGGAAGTTGTAAAAAACTTACATCACTTGGAACAATAATGGGTCGCATTTGCAAAAAAATAGTCTGGAGTTTGGCATAGACCTCAGCGTGTTGTGGAGGCCCCATTCTTGCTATGACTTCCATTGCTTCCTCTACCTTTCCCTTTATTTCTTTTAACTGGAGCTCAACTTCATTTGTCTGCCTTTGAACATCAGTATTAAGTGCCTTTATTCGTGTTTGAAAGCCTTGGTCAAGAGTCAACCTAGAAACCAGAAAATTAAATTCACAAGTTATCAATTCATATTGATAAGAATTCCACCGCGTTACAACCTGATAACAATTCCCATAGCCAGGCGTGGAAATCAACATGTCAATCTAACCTTCTACAAGAAAAAAATAAGAAGGATATATAACCATACATAAGTGACTACTATACCATTTATCACCACATTCACTAACAGTTGTATTATTTATTTACTTTTGATAAATAAATTTTTAATTTTTTTATGTTTAACGTAATGAGAAGCATCATTAGGATTGGAGTGTGGTTTTTAGTTTATTTTGTCATAATTGTTGTTATGCTGGTATTTGTCTCTTAGTTTAACCATTATTAGGTTGGACACTGCTTATCAATCAACAATTTATGTAATTATCCTATCATATTAATAAGGTTTTTCTTCCTTTTTTCTTTTTATAAGAAACAAACTTTTATTCAATAAAGGAAGTGATCACCAATTTTGTTGGACAAACAGTTCAATGATACATAAATGAAACAAAGATAAGAAACAAACTCCACAAAAACAAAAATCACAAACAAGCTGCAATCCAAAGAAAGAATGATATTGAAATTTCTTTGTGGACAAAGCTTGCAATGAAGCTACAAACTGAAGCCTCTCCTGTAAATACTCCACTTTCTCAACTTCATATTCAAATAAGGGAATATAATATGGCATGTATAAGAAACAAGGTGCCACAAGTTAATTACATAATGTCAAAAAATCTTAGTAAGTCTTACCAGAACGAAAAGTGTCAAAGACATCTCCAGATTGAATATGGATTAGACGTTACAAGTTCAACATATTAAAACTATAAATACCAACACTTCGTCTATTTTCCACCATTTTTTACTAGCTAATATTTAATCCCATTATCAAACACTACCACAAAACAGTAGTATTTAACAATGCTGACCGGTCTTTGTAGCATTCCAGAACAATTTAACATCCACAACCAGAATATTAAGGTTTGACATATATGCACACAACCAAATCTAGTGGTATACACTGTGACTTAGATAAAACTGGGAAAAGCAAATGGTGAAATTTGAGTTGAATCAAGCTTTTACCTGTCTTTCCTCTTCCTGCTCACTCGCCTTCTAGAAAATGCATCATTTGGTTTGTTGAGTAAGATTAGGTTCTCCTCGTAAGTATCAACAACAAAATGGTTTGAAGTAGCATAAATTCCCAAATTTTTAGTTTGTTGGCTCGAAGGGTCATATGAAGAAAGCACCCAATCACTTGGTGCTTTTGTCTCCAATAATATATGACCATTATTCCGTAAACCTAATACCTGTGTAATTCCTCTGCTTAGATCAATTGTGAACTGCTTATACAAAGAATCAACTACACCATACTTTTTCATTGTCCAAATGGAACAAGACTTGAATACAGCACTATCTTCGTAACATAACAGAGAAAGCAATCCCCCGAAAACTGAAGCCCGGACCTCGGTTCTCGGGCCTACAATACCATCTGGTAACATCATTGTTTGAAACACCTCATCACACAAATCAAACGACAAAATCAATGGATCATTGGATTTCTTCATATTCGCAGCAAAATGAACAGCCCCTTCTAAATAAGCAGCGAAGCGTCCTGAATAATCTATAGTAATCCCATCCGGATAAGAGTTCCTCCCCGTGCTAGACATTTTCCATACGCCCGCATTAAGGGAATAAACCTCAATGTGTGTTATTGGCTCCCCATTGGGCAGTTTAGTTCTGTTGGCTATTGTAACCACTTTATAATCATTGCTTCGCGGATCAAATCCAAACCCATGATAATGCATAGAGGTCTTGATCGTAGGTTTGGACATAGCCATGGACTTTCTAATCGATGGGTTCCAAAGAAAAAACCGATCTTGTTCGAAAAGGCAAAACAAACCTTTCGCATACCCAATTGCGAAAAAAAAGTGAAGACGACGGCTCTTTATTGGGATTTCAAGTTCTTTGTATTCATCAAATGATTCATCAGTATCAATACACAATTTGTAGTGCTCTGTTTTGGTATAAGGAGTAGAAACACATTGCCTAAGTATCATGAGTGGGAGATTATCATAGCTGTTATTGTAGGTATCGGAAGTGAGCGAGTGATTGAAGTGGGTGTTGATGAAACTAGGGCTTGTGATAAGAGAGTACCAAGATTTGGAAACAGACCTGAATTGGATTAGGGGTTTGGTGGGTAGTCTGTGGAGGATTTCAACCATGATTTCGTCTGGGAGAAAGTCCGACATTGCTATTCTTCTTCTACTTCTTGTTGTTGGATGCGAGAATGAGGAAGCAGATACAGATTCTGTGCCCTAAACCTAAATGTTTGAATCAACCTCAGCAGTGCTTTCTCTTCTTCTTCTTCTTATAGGGATTGAGTTTGGGGCTCCCAAATTTTGGAATTGGATTGGGGGTTGTTGACGGAAATGCTTGGCCGAAAGGATATATATTCCTCGGAAAACTTGTTTCAAATTGTTGCTGAGAGATGAGGTTGTAATTTTATATTTAACTTTTAAATTTTGCTTTTTTGATTGAAAATATTTAAGTTGTTTAATGATTGAAGAAAAAGTAATCGGTAATTTTAACGGAGGGTTGTCCCGAGTAGTCGATAGATGTGCTCCTTACATTATTATTTAGGATTCGATTTTTTTAATCAAATTAGAAGGGAAATATTTTTTTATGAATTCTCTAATTTTAATGTGGATGATTTGCGTGTAAATTAATTCAAATATCCATGATTATTGAATTAAAAAAAAGTAATTTGTAATTTCTCCAGTTGTAACATGGATGATTTGCCTTCAACTGGATGAAGAAAAAAAATTCATCAACGTGGGCTTAAGTTGATCCGAACCCTCCAAACAACTTAACTCAAAAAAAAAATAGTAATTTTGGATTATAAAAAAAAAAATTATTAGATTATAACAGCCATTAATTATTGGATAGGAAGAGCATTATTGAAAGAAGAGAAAGAACCAAAAAAAATAAAATAATTCACATTGATATCAGTAGGATAGTTTTAAAAATTTTCTTTAAGAAGCATGTTGGTGATAATTACATATAAAACATCAGAAAATACAAATAATAAAAGTTACAATAACTACTATAAGGGCTGAGGCGCGGGAAACTCGCTCTCTTTAAGGAGATTTAAGCCCTCTGCGATTGGGTAAAGCCTCACACCGGTGCAGCAGAAAAAATCTTGATTTGTCTCTCTCATGATACAACAGCCCGACTAAGTCGTATGGTTAACCAATACTGCACAATTGATTGAACCTAAAGCTTTATCACATACACCCTTTTTATTTGCCTGATAATCTCACATAAAGCATAACAAAGTAACAAAACTTCTTCTCATATCACCCAACATAGGAGATTAGCCCAATATATAAAATTGAAAACTTGTTAGACAAGATTCTTGGTGGATAAGTTAACTAGAGACTTAACCAAGACTTGGTGTGGATAAGAATTAGTTGGAGACTTGACCAAGACTTGATGGACTTGAATGGTGAGCAAACTTGGTAGAAAAGAAAAGAAAAATAACCTATAACACATTATAAAATTAAAATATCTGCTAACATTCTCCCATCTATTTTAATATTATAGGTAACAAAAACTGAGATTATTAGACAAATAAGGATATTATGCATCGTGGTAGGTGTGCTCTGGATTGAACCTCCATTAGTGAAACAATAATATCTACTCCAGAGCCAATAATATACTCAGCATTGAACTACGACTGCTTAAGGGAAATAAATAATTATTGCACACACATAATATTCCAGGTGTTCATATAAGCTTTAAAAACTAGCACATTACGGCCTTGTGCGATCCCAGGATTCATGAGTGTGTTTGAGAATTAGCCCAAATCTCATAGGTAGCGGCCCCACTACCACACTCACATAGGTAAATTCTGTCAAGGGTGCTCCTGTAACTATGACACCCTACTCAATAAGAGTTACAGAAATTCATTAAGAGTTTTTTTTAATAACTCAACATTTACAACGTTACAGGATAAATGCACTTACATCATAGGGATGGGTAAAAAGTAATTTAGTGCATTTCTCACGACCATCATATGATCGTTTTTCTCATTGAACCCAGTTACAGGATCTCTGGTCCCTAAGTTGAGTATCCTCATATATGGGATGGGGTTGAAGCCCATTGAATATGGCTCCTGCTATATTCAATGGGCTTCAACCCCATCCCCCTCGATGTATTCTAGACTCTATCTCTTGCTAAGGCCTTAGTTAATGGATCTGCAAGATTATCACCAGATTTAATATAATCCACATTTATGATGCCATTATTCATATAAGATCTCACAGTACTGTGTTTTCTTCTGATAGGTCTGGATTTACCGTTATAATAACGGTTATTAACTCGACCAATTGTTGCGGTGCTATCACAATGAATCAATATAGGTGAAATCGGTTTTTCCTAACAAGAGATTTCATTTAACAAATCTCTTAACCAATTTGCTTCTTCACTAGCTGTAGCTAAAGCAATAAGCTCAGCCTCCATTGTTGAATTAACAATAATGGTTTGTTTTTTCGATTTCCAACTTATAGCACCACCTCCCAATGTAAATAAGTAACCAGTGGTTGATAATGAATCACCTGACAAGGTATTCCAATCGGCATCACTGTAACCTTCAAGTGCTGCAGGATACTTATTATAAAACAAGCCATATTTTATGGTACCAGATAAATATTTCATAATCCGCTCAATGGCTAGCCAGTGATCACTACCAGGCTTGCTAGTAAACCTGCTAAGTACTCCAACTGCATAGACAATGTCAGGTCTGTTGGAAATGGTTATAAAATTCTAGGTAAAACCATAATTTTTTCCCTATGTTTGGTCTATTTTTTAGGTGGGCCTCGTGCGTCGATTTTCATGGGTCAAAGTGGTAACGCGTTCTATGCCGTGTTGTGATTCACATGGTATATTTGGTTGCTCAAAACCATTACCGAGTGAATGAAAAATTGAAGCCAAAGTGTGCTCTATGGAAATGGAGTTTTGGTGGAAATTCCTTATGGTTGTAAAATGACTTGTCCCACATTGATTTGGTGAGAAGTTTTGAATGGGTTTATAAGGCATGGGTTTGGTACTTGGGGTATGCCCCAATGGGTACCCAAGTGTTTTAGATGGAGAGGTTATGGGCAAAATGGGCTAGACTTAGTGGACCCAAAAATCACCACACGCGCGTGCGCGCGCCGCCGTCCGCCCGGTCGGGCGGGCTAGGCCTGGCCTGGGCTTGGATGCATGGTGTGAGGTTGAGTTGGGCTTATTCGGCCCAATACTAATCTTTTTGAGCCAAAAACATTTGAATTTAATTTTATTTTTGGTAAAATAAAATCCAGAATTCAAATTAAACCGAAAATAAACTGGTCCGGTTTTACTGTACACCCAAACAGGGCCCTTCCCCTTTTTATCTGTTCAAATTTGAATCCAACAGGTTTGTTTCTGTTTATTCAAATTGAACAGGTTTCATATCTGTTTAAACAGGTTTTGCACCTGTTTAATTCAAACCCAACAGCCATAATACCATCTATAAATAGGACAGCCCTCATTTGGATTTTGCAACTCTAATTTCATCCTTCATAATTCTGCAAATATTCTTTTCATATTGCTGCATTGTTTTCTTCTGTGAGAGAGTATAAACACTGAGTGTGTTCATTAGGCAAACAATTTGTAGTAGATCATTTTATCATGGGAGATAGACGTCCGAATTCTGAAAGTACCGTGGAGAGGATGAATTTGTCTTAAGAACACAGTGTCAAACATTGGACTTGATCAGATAATTATTCAAAGAAATTAATCAAGTAAGTTGTTTGATTTTATTATTCTGTTTTATTTGTTTATTTAATCAGATTTTAATTTTGTTTTTATAACAAAATAAAATCAATTTTATTTATTTATTTTTATTTCGAGTTTGATTTTTGTAATCAAACAAAATTCTTTCATTTCTTTTATTTCTTTTATATTCCGGTTGTTGTTAAGTACACAACATAATTTCATCTTTTTAAATACAGTGAAGATTGTCCAACAATCTTAAGACAGATCCGTCCTTGGTATCTTCATTGTATTTAATTTTCTGTAATTTCATAAAAACATATTCTAGTTAGAAAAATAAATAGTGATTTATGCTATTTGACAGATAGTAGTAATATACTGTCTCTTTTCTTTGACAACTAGTAGTAATATACTGGTGTCATTAACAATTGCAGAATATTAATTTGTACTACAGAAAATTATTGTGGTATTTTATTTTCTAGTTTTAGTAACAAGAAAAATAAAATTATATTATTTTCTAGTTTTAGTAACAAGAAAAATAAAATTATTTTGTGTTATAATTTATTTTCTGATTTTAGTAACTAGAAAATTAATTTTGTTAATCAATCATGTAACTTTGTGTTTCGGTTACAATATGTACATTTTATACGTGACTTACGGTTTTGTTTGGAAGGTCACTTAAACCGTTTGTGAAAAGGTGTTAGTACTTGGAAGTATTTGATTCTGGAATTAAATATTAGTTTTACAAACTAATTTTATTTTTATTACGAAAAAACCTTTATGGTAAGTTTTTTCTTTATTGGTTTACTGATTTATTCTTTAATTCTGTGAATAGTTTCTGCACTTGAGTCGGAAAATATATATATATATATATATATACATTCACAAGAACATTTTAATGTATATTTAATTAGTTTATTTATGGACTAATCAAACTGATTAAATAAAGATATGTTTTAAAGTTTAAAATTTAAAGCACGTTGAATTTTATTTATGGGTTTTTTATCTTATGATGAAAGTTATGAGATCATGCATGATTAATTTATTTTGTTAATTCATTATTTTTAGTTGATGCGTTTGATATGCATGTATTGATATCAACTCAAGTTATTTCTTTAAAAACTAATGTCATGTGAGTTGGAATGATAAATTGATATGTTGACTTTGAACATAAGCAGATTAATTTGAATATTTCTCATCAATTTTGAATGGGTGTTTAAACACTAGAGAAATTTAAACATGAAGATGTATGTAGTTATATCGTTCCATTTATTTAGAAGTAAATTTAAGAATTTTTTTTATTATTAGTTTGTTTTAAATTTGTAACATAAGATGCCATTAATTATTATTTTACTTGCGTAGTAGAATTTGTTAAACCTTAAAACATTATTTTAATATGGAAGTGTATCTCTTGCATTAGAAGAGATAATTTAGTTTTCTTTTATCACAAATATTTTTTGTGATAGTGTTACTTATTCGTAAATGAGTTGCAAGAATTTATACAATCAAATGAGATTTTTGATTTATTCATTTCTTAGGCAAAATTTTTATGAGGATATGATTTTGTCAAAACATTAATTCTGATTTGTGTAGTCATAGTTATTTTGGAATTTTTATTTGAAATTTATGAATCAAGCACATCATAGACAACAAGTGATGGATGTTTTATGTTGATTTATATTAGAAGTGATAGGGGT